TGGGTGGAGATGATTACCCCTTGGAAAGTCTAAAGTCCAAAACCCTTAACATGAATGCTGTAGATCTATGTTGTCCAAATCAACTTTCCTTCAGTTTAAGTCTCTTCCTTTAACCTACCCTGGCCTTCCTTAAATGCCTCAAACGCACAAAGACCTCCATTCCTTTTGAGTCTCCCACAATCTTTCCCATCCTCTCAGCCCAACTTCTACTCCTTCAATTATCAGTTGAAATGGTAATTTTCCAAGACTTTTTCTATCCTTCAAATGTTCCATACTCTTAGAGATCTCTACACTACTGTTATAAAACTGTCGCATTTGTTAATGTTTTGTTTTTCTTTTTTTTTGGCAGTACTGGGATTTAAGATCAAGGCCATCCTGCTTGCTAGGCAGGCACTCACTTCAGTCATGCCCCCAGCCTGATGCTGCTTTTCTTGCTGAACTGTAAATTTCCTGACAGCAGGAACGGTATGCCTCATTCACTTCTGTATGAACAAATGTCAAATTCTAGCCAAATAAGAATCAACAAGGCAAAATTTCCAGATAATGGGTCATTTTCCACATCCAGATGGGTGTGGTGGCACAGGTCTGTAATCTCAGCTACTTGGGAGGCAGAGATAAGAGGATCAAGGTTCTAGGCCAGCCAGAGGCAAACCTAGCCCGAGACCCTATCTGAAAAACAAACTAAAAGAAAAGGACTGGGGACATGACTGAAGTAGAGGTAGAACACTTGCTTAACTAAAGGGAGACCCTGAGTTCAAATCCCAGGATAGCAAAAGAAAAAAAAAAAAGACTATATATTTTTCAAAATAGAATGCCTATTATTCTCCATTTTTTAAAAGCAAAGCAAAACAAAAACAAAAAAAAAAAACCCTGAAAGCAAAAACATCTTTTTAACCCCTAGGGAATAGGGTTTCTATCATGATAATTTATCAGTGGAAAGAATTAATTAGTACATCTCTCCTTCGTTTTTGTATCTTGCTCTCAATGGGGTTTATTTTCCTTAGGGTTTAGGATTCCAGCATGTCACCAGCATGATCTCTACCAGATAAGTAAGAGACCATATTTTTCATCACCTAATATCAAATCATCAATCTGAGTCAGTCCTCCTGGCAGTAACTGTGAAGTAGTGCAGTAAAGAATTAGCAACATGTCATTCACAAAACCAGGGTTGGAGCCAGCAGTTCTCATAAGGGCTATGAACTGCTCTGTTTGGCTGCTCGGAGTATCTGCTTTCTTCTTGATCACGAACTTGGAGGCTGGCGGCCAAGCAATACTCTCCAAAGGTTCGCAAACATGGGTAGAAAGAAAGCTGCATTTTGCATTCACTTTTTTCCATTCATGCGGTAATTCTGGGAAGCGGTGATATCTTCTTTAAATGTCCTAGAAATAGACATGAAGGAATGAGGTGCACACGTCATTATCATGACTGCATTCAAGGTGATAACCAGACTGGGACAGAGTGCAGGCTTACACACAGATAAATTACTATCTTCTTAAAGAGAATAAAAATCAATCCTGTGGGGATGAGAGGTAGGAAAGGGGATCAGCATTAGCACACAGGGAAGTCCTGAGGAAACTGGGGTGGGTGCTGGATGTCAGGGTCAAGCATTAGGGTCTTGACTTTTTTAAGGTGAACTCATTCCTGGTAAGAAGTCTGATAGACAATGACAGATGGGAAACAAGGGGGAAAGTCTCAAAATGTCTTTATATAAGACAGTTGTTCACAGCTAGAAGTAAAGTTAGGGGCAGTGTGGTGAGGGGTTCAATTAAAACACAGAGTGGAGAAAACCCAAAATACCCACTGCTATAGTCTGAATGTTTATGTGACCCTCCCTCCCTGATTCACACTAAAACTTCATGATCAATGTGGTGATATTAGGAGATGAGGACCTTAGGGAGGTGATTAGATCAGGAAGTCTGAATTCTCCTGAATGGCCACAGAGAGTCAGCTGTTTTCATCATTGAGGACACCAAAAGAAAGTGCCATCATTATGTCCTTACCGGACATAAATTTGCTGACACCTTGATCTTGGTCTCTCCAATCTCTAGAAATAAATTCCTATTGTTTATAAGCTACTCACTCTGCAGTATTTTGTCATAGCAGCCCGAATGGACTAAAAAATCCACTGAGCATATGTACTTTGGAGAAGGTTCTCAAATGACATGATGCAAAGGGAGGGCTAAGGAGGCTCTGCTAGCTACAACTGATAGGCATAGGGGAACCATGTGAGCACATGGAAGCTGCCCTCCATGTGAGCACAAGAAGCCGAGATGCCCAGAGAACTTTCTTCCACCAGTGAGACTGCAGGTGCCTGTGCAAGCACTTTAGCATCACTTATTGTGTAGCAGGTTCCCCAGCTTGGGCTGAAATAAAGTAGTAGTACAAAAACCTTTTTTGCCAGGACAGGATGCTCAACGCATCAGGTATCTCCATGCCAAGCCAGCTCTCAAAAAAAAAATTATTTTTAATTGAACTTGACACCTAAGAATCTTTGGGAAAAACCAACTTGTCAAGCATAGACGTAAACCTTCCCTGAAAGTTTTCCTTGCCTCCAGAACTCAGCTAGCACTCTGGCCTGTGACCTGAAGAATTAAAAACCCTATCAGGAAAATCTCTGTGTTCTTCCTCTTCCTCCTCCCTCCCCTTTCCTTCCTGAACAATTCAGTCCAAGAGTCGTTAGGTGGGACTCAATGAGACTGTGCATGCAGTGAGCTGGGAGGAATTACAGTGGCCTAGTGGGGTGTGCTGGAGCCATAGCAGGGTAAGTAGAGAATAGCAGTGACCCAGTATGAGGGGCTGGGGTCCAAATAGGATAAGGAGAATGAAGGCCACAGCAGTGGCCACCCAGAAAGTGATGTTGGTACCCAAGTTTGCTGAGGAAAACAGGAGACTGGTTATATGGTGAGGTTGGCAGGGAGGGGTTGACCAAATAAAAAACATATTGAGGATAACAGGAACCAGGGATTTTGCTATCAAGAAGACAGTTATCCTGAGTATGTGGCACACACCCATAATCCCAGCATTCCGGAGGCTGGGGCAGGCGGATTTTGAGTTCAAGGCGAGCCTGAGCTACATAGCATGACCCTGTCTCAAAACAAAAACAAACAACAAAAAAAGAGGAGGTTATAAATATGGAAAGGAAGAACACATGGGTGAACACTGTATTTCATTAGAATGAAAGGATCTCAGAAGGAAATCATGGTTTCTTGGATGGATGGATGGATGGGTGGGTGGATGGATGGATGGACAGATGATAGATGATAGATAGATAGATAGATAGACAGATAACAGGTAGATAAACAGGCAGATTAGTATAATCTCAAATCCTGCTATTGAGAGTGCCTGGAGCAGTGACAATTCAACATGAACAAGTGTGCAGATCTTGGTTTGTACATACTGTTCCCACCAAAAGGAGCTAGTGCTCTTCGGAGATCTATGCTCAACCCTGGCAAAGTATAAAATGAAGCTGGAATATCTTTTGATGCCAGAAAGTGAGGAAGGCCCAAAGAATAATAGGGATATCTCAAAAAGACACAGAAGGTGGTGCAAGAGGACTCTGGTGAGCTATATCTGAATAAATTGAGGATAAAACAATAAAAGAAGTGATGATAAATGATTGGATATAATTGGATTCCATGAGACCATACTGACATAAATAAATAATAAAGTTTGATAAGGAGTGGGATACAGATCATATAGTTTCAAGTAACTCCCCACAACATATAAATTACGAAAGGAAAACAGAGCTCTTCTGTGTAGAAGCCTTACAGACACTCCCTCAATTAAGTAACCACAAATAATATTAAATGATCAGAGCTAATACCTGATCCCCTCTTGGGACAAACTCACAAATTGATAGCGTGTTCTACCTGTCTGGATCCAGTGAGTTCGCAGCATCAGTTCTGTGGTTCCCACCAAAGACGCACGATCTGAATGTAATGGTGTGAAGGCATCACACGGACCCAAACTGAGAGGCAGACTACAAGTCAGGGTGATGGGGCATCATGGCATCATGTTGTCAGTTTACTCTTACACATTCCAGAATAAAAACATATTTGTACTTGGGAACTTTTCTGTAGGCTTGAGATTGTTTCAAAATTTAAAACTTGAAAATGAAGAGTGACCTTATGTTATAGTAGACTTGATGGAAGCCTAGTGTCGAGATGACTTAATTAAGATCTGGATGGACCAAGTTAAATGCCAACAACTATACTTTAAGGCAAGGCTTCTTAAATTATCTCTGATGAAGGATCAGTTCCCTTCCTCTCCCTCCCAGTCCATTGAAAACCAATCATTTTGTCAAATACAAAAATCTCACATTTGGATTTCAGGATGATATCAAATTGCTACAAGAGTTTTCAGATGCTTGCTCTCCATGTCTGTACTTGTTTTTAGCATGAACTGATGAGTGACAGCCAGTTCATAGACTAGCTCAGACCACACTCTGAATAGTACAACTCTAAGACGAGACAAAGTGCTTCTCGAAGGGAAGACAAGCAGATCCCCAATTGTCATCATACCCACGTAGGACGTAAATAAAAACCACTGGTCACACTGTTATCCATAATGGCAGCAACAACAATTGTCCTAATTAATCTCAATAATCTATACCAACTGTTCAAGAAAGAGATTTTCCAGGCAATGACAAGAGATTAAAGAGCTGCCTTTGCCCCTCATCAAGTAAGTTTAAGTCCAGACACAGAGTCAAAACTATTGTTCACACATAGGCCCACTCTGACAAGTCCTAGGCCACACAGCCCCTCAAATAAAACAGAACAATGCTATGTAGTAATCTAAGACAATGCAGGACGAGCAGCAGGGAGCTAGTGCATCTGCTGGGAAGGCTCAGCGTCCCTCCAGAGGACGCCCTGACACTTTTGTTGTTGAGATCCTCACGCCAGGGGCCCCTCCACAGACACAGTGGACGCTCCACACAGAGCCCTGTAAGCTGGAACCCCATTTCCACAGCATCTGTGTGTGGGATGTGGCCTTGACTTACCTGGGGCGGTTTTGTAGCAGGAGGTTCTGGAGGGCAGCGATGATGGGGCGTTCTTGGCCCTGGGGCTTGGCGCACTCTGCAAGACTTGTCTCTGCCGCTTCAGCTCCTCCTCCCTTTCCTGGGCTGCTCGGATTTCTTCTTCGATCATGGACAAAGTCCGCTGCTTCCTTGACCTCAGCTTGAAGGGTCCGACCATCACATCAGATTCCTGAGCAGCCAGGAGGCATGCTGTACTTCTTAGTTCAGCTGCCTCTGAGTACTTGCTGAAATAGCCCCCTTCAGGCCGGGCCTCCTCCAGGTTGACTGGGCCACTGGGCTGCACAGCTGGCGGTGACTGGGAGGGCCCACCTTCCCTGAGCACCCTGTCCTCCACAGGCAGAATCTTTGGTAATACATCCCTTTTCTCTTGAACAGGAGAGGACACCTGAGGAGGGGCAAACATGCCCTGAGGCTTCTCTGAGCCAGGAGCCCTGGTTTCAGCTTGCTCCAGAGTTCCTTCAGGTCTCTGGGGTTCTGCTGCATCTTGCTGGTTTGAGGCATGGCCTGCTCCACCTGCTCAGCTATGGCTTGTTCAATAGCATTCTGCACCAGGAGCCCAGCCTGATATTCCAAGGGGTCATCAACCGAAGGAGAGTCTCCCAGTGTGGAGGAAGGGGAATAGAAACCATGGTCACTGAATGACTTGGAGACCCCTTCTCGGCCTTCTAAGAGGTTATCTGTTTGTGGAGTCTGAGGGAGAGAGAAATCAGCCAGTGAGTTTTCCTGAAGGGCATTGGGTGTCTCATTGGAGGCACCACTGTCACTGATGTTGTCCATGCTGAAGTCATTGGACAGGGTCTCCAAGACGGTGGTATCCTGGGACCTCACTGACAACTCATCCAAACCTGAGTCAAGTTCCTCTTGGGTCAAAGAGACATTGACTGATCTTGAAAACTGATCCAAAATCCCATGGTCGTCATCTTTGACCACAGTGAGGACAGCCCGGGCGCTGGTGAACTCTCCATCCTCTGCCCATAGTTTAGATAAGGGCCCACGTTTAGAGGGCTCGCTGTAGGGCCCTTCCTTTCCCTGAGGCACTGTGCTGCCTGGGCCTCCTCCCGCCGACTGGCTCTCCAGCACACAGGGCGCTTTCTGCCCTTTGACTGTCGATGTGCCATTGTTTTCAGGAGGTCCCCCCATGGAAGCTGGTCGAAGGATGGTCGGTGGCTTATCTGAGTGGATGGATCCCAAAGGCCTGTAGAAAGGCTTGATAGAGAACAGCCTGGGTGTGCTCTGGCCCTTGGCCACTGTTTGCCTGGAATTCTCCATCTTTTGGAACTGCTTGCGAGCAGCAGAGAAGTCTATCTGCTCTGTGACAATGGCCTCCTTTGCACTTTCAGTCCCGCCTGCATGGTCAGGGGAGGAAGCTGGGGTGGTGCAGAGCTGTGGCGGAGGCTGCTGTTGCTGTAGCTGAAGTTGCAGCTGCTGCTGCTCCTGCTGAGCCCTTCTCTCCTTGCGCTCCTTGTACTTTTTGTGTGACTCCAGATGTTCCTCGTCCAGCTGCTCCTCGATAGTTTTTTCCTGGGGGGGATTCCACCACTTGGCTGCAATGCCAGGGTTCTTCTTCACAGCCTGACTCCGGATGAGCTCCCTACGCTCTTTCTCCAGCTCCAGCATCTCCTCAGAGGGTCGCACCTTCCGGACACAGTACTGCTCCTTCTCATGCTCGTCCTCCTCAAAGAGCTTGGAGGGCTTCTTGTCCTCGTGGAAGGCACGCAGTTCAAATTTGGCCTCCTTCTTCAGTGTGGTGAGTGTGAACTCCCCATCCCGAGAAGAACAGCGAGAGCTGGTGGAGGAGCTGGGGCTGGCAGGTGCCTGCAGGTTGTCTCCCAGCATATCTTGGGGAGTCAGGGGGACAGGAGAGGGGCCATTGGCTCTTTCTGCCTCTGCCATTGTGTCAGAGGGACTTCTGCTGAGTTCAATGTGAGGAAGTACCTGCCTGTCGGCTGCTTCCTCTGTAGGTTCTGGCTGGGGGGCTTCGTGGGCAGTTGGGCCTAGGCTGCCCACCAGTACCGCGGTACCAGGTTCTGGGGAGGAGGTTCCGTTGTAAGTTCCATCCACAGCAGAATCGCAGCAATTGGCCTCTAACACCTCATCCAGATAGCGGATCTCTCTGACCACATCATTATCCAGAGACTCCTGGTGATCAGTGAGGAGGCCATTGTGCGGGGGTGGGTAGAAAGGGGAGGGATGGTCCATGGAATGAGGGCTCGAGGTGACTCCAGGAACACTTTTACATTCTCTAACAGACACCTCAATTTCCATGTTTTTGTGATCTGGGGAAAGAGAGCTGGTAGCAGTAGGCTCCAGTGGGTTAGCACTACACTTGTCTCTCTGTGTTAGCTGGATATCATCGTCGGAAAGCGGGGGAGGTTTCTAGAATAAAGAGAAAACAAAATTTGGGGTTAAATACTGCATCCCTTGTGGAGGTGAACGCTAAGAAATTCACTCCTATCTAACAGGAAGGAATGAGTAGAGGTCTCCCTGTGATTATCTTGTAAATACTCATTTTGTGTGGTGACAGGCCTTCTTATGTTCAGTGGGTGTTCAGTGGATGCTAACTCCATTTGTAAATTTTTATCTTCCAGGGTAAAAGCGATTATATAGCTAATATACAAAATATTTCATAGCAAACCACTGTGGGCTTTGTGTTAGGACTGTTTGTGTGCCCTCAACTAGAAAAAGAAAGTTCTTTGTATGAACAATTGTTCTTAAAAACATGCTTCTCTACCAGATGTACTGCAGTTATTCTGGAGACAAGACACTCTTTGGAAAATCTTTTCACAATAAAATACAGTAGACCCCTTCAGTGGCCCCTCACAGGCTAGAGTGCCCCATTGCCACGGCTGTAACTGACCATGTAAACACCATGACAAAGCCACCGACCACACTATTCTGTTCTCCAGGACTACAACAAAGCTGTCCTCCTTACTTGCATGTTGCTTGGGAAAACTAGTGGACAAAGGTACCTCCATCTAGTTTCTCAAATGCTTTGTATGTGGTATCTCCCACTTGTGGTTAAATAAATAAAAATGTGCTCTTCTTGTTTTGTTTTACATTTTTTATTTATTTATTAATTTAGTTACAACTTTTTGAGGAAGGATCTTGCTGTCTATATTGCCCAGGCTGGCCTCAAACTCACAATCCGCCCATCTCAGCCTCCCCAAAACCAGGATTATAGGTGTGCACCACCACACCCAGCTTATTCTTAATGTTTTAAAGTACATTACATTTAACCACCAGTTATCTAGCCCATGTAATTTGTCGGCTGGCTGAATGGTTGGTTGTTATTATGCATGTTTGTTTGTTAGTAAGATTGATTTTCAAATTCTAGGAGGAATTTTTTTCTTTTCAAAGGATTCCAGTTTATCTCAGAGAATTCCAGCAGTGAGTTATGCACTCAGAGTTTCTCTCAATGGTTTCCTAACGCTTTAGTCAGCTTTGTTTCTCTCCCTCAGGTGTATAGTATGCTTGGTATTATTGACATGGTGGAGTGCAAAACGGCTACACCAAATAAATTTCATTTACTTACATTTTCAACCATTTTAAAGGCTTAGGGCATAATAGGGTAATGGTTCTCAGGGGATTGATTTCAACATTCCTCCAAGGAAAGTGGGTCATTAAAGCTCTGTTCATAAGATTTAGAATCCTGTGCTCTGAATTCCTGTTAGTGTTGAAAAAATTCTCATGGTTATTCATGAGCTGGGGACCCCTCACTTTCCATGTTTCCTTTCCAACTTAAATCACTCAAGTAATACATATTTTTGGTCATGCTTGGTGGCTCATGCCTGTAATCTCAGCTACTCAGACAGGAGGCTTGTGATTTGAGGCCAGCCTAGGCAAAAAATTAGTGAGACCCTGTCTCAAAAAAACAAACTGGACATGATGGTACCTGCCTTTAATCTCAGCTACTCAGGAGGCAGAGATAGGAGGACTGAGGTATAAGGCTAGCCTGGGCAAAATTGCAAGAACCTATCTGGAAAAAAAAACTACAGTAAAAAGAGCTGAGGGTATGGCTTAAGTGGTAGAGGGCTTGCCTAGCGGACAAATAATGGCAGGCATTCAATTTCAATTTAGGCTCAAATTAGCCCAATCCATGAGAGCTTACTACTGGAATAAATGGATCAACAAGAACAGATACTGGTACTGGTAAGGTGAGAGTCGGATTGCCCATGGCAACCTCAGCTCCAGCCTCACCTGGCCAGTGATTTACTGCTAACATTCATGGGAGTAGCAGGGCTTTCCTTCTAGCTCTTTTGACATTTGGGAGAAGTTGGAAAATAGCAGAAAGCTACTGAGAGTGAGATGTACTGCACTACCGAAAGAGAGCACTTTAGAATAGTTGAGAAGGAAAGAAGGACAATCTGGTACAAGGAAGCTAAAAGGCAAATAATTCCACAGTTCATTTATTTACTAATCCATTCACTAAGCATGCGGGAAGCTCACTCTTGCAGGGCTGTGATGAAATTAGCAACAATAAACTCCAGGTGGCAAACCCCGTCCGTAAGAAAAGTGAATTTCCCATGTCTCCCAGGAATACAAGTCTATTCTAGAGGCTTTTTTTTTTTTTAGGGGGGTGGGACTAGGTTTTGAATTCAAGGATTTATGCTTGCAAAGCATGTACTCCACCACTTGAGCCACACCTCCAGTCCATTTTCTTCTGGTTATTTTGGAGATGGGGTCTTGTAAAGTGTTTACACAGGCAGGCCTTGAACCATGATCCTCCCAATCTCAGCCTCCCAAGTAGCTAGGATTACAGGTGTGAGTCACTGGTGCCCTAGAGTTTTCTTAGAGTCTAGCAAAGTGAGGGACCTGTCTTTCTTAAGTGTTTTGCTGCTGATTACAGAGATAAAAGGCCTGGGCCTATCTCGATTGCATCTCCCAACGACCCTTTCTGGTTCTCCTCACTGCAGCCCTGTTCCTTTCTCCTAAATGCTTCACAGGTCAAGAGTTCTATGATAGACCAGATACACTACCGGTTCTTTCTTTTTAGAACTTAAAAATCACACAAGACTCTTTTCAAGACATACTTTGTGAACCAGAAACAACTGTTTGGATATAAAATTGTAAAAATCTGAGGAGAGCATTTGACAGTACATATTTGCAATGTCAAAAATACTGCCTTGGAGTCAGAAATGATAAGCATTCAAGAACTGGGGTTCTTGAAAAAATGCTAGTTACTGGTTCAAAATCAAAATCTGGGGTTCCAGAGTAACCTGAGACGATTCCTTTTTGATACTTCCTTCTAGAAACTAGGAGGCATAAACAGGAAAGCAGTTCCCCTTCCTGTGAGTTACATGGGGCCCAGTAATTCCATAAATTCAGAAATTTCTTCCTCAATTCCAACTACTTCAGGCCACAGCTGCTCTATATCCTAATCAAGGCAGAAGTATTCAGAGATAAACAACTCTGCATTACTGATTTGCAGTCAGGAATCAGAGGTCCTGAGTTTGTGTAAAGTTAGGCAAGGATTATAGCAAAAGAGCCAATTCCTGAGTTTACTCTCAGCAGGAAGAATTTACCTTCATGCATGATGGCCTGACGTGATCAAAGCCATCAGTAACTTCAGCAGGTAAATGGATAGAAGCTGAAAATCCAGCTTCAGCGTGGATCTGGCAGGAGTCCGGGCTGGGATCATTAAATGATGCCTTGTTTAAACCAGCCAAGGCTTATTGCTCCCTTTCAAGATAAGGAGCAGAAATTTTCTCCATACTTCAGATAAGGTGAACCCAATTCTAGAGTCAGATAAAATGTACACTTATTACATTGACTGGTAAGTCCTATCTGAAATAAACTACCCCAATACAAAACAGAGAAAGATGTGGAAAGAACCACCAAGCTGGGTGTTCTAAGGTCAAAGAAAAACTGGGGTGCTAGGGGACTGTGAACAACCTTTTGCCTGTTCCAGCCAACCCTCCAGGTGGAGCCCTAATACCATGGTGTATAATACCTGCCCTCCTACTGGTTTCCCAGAATAGCTAACAGCTGGTTAGGACGTCTACAATTTACTTTAAAATACTCGAGCAGAGTCAATATAATGTGTGTTTCTGAAATTAGTTTAAATGCCTTTCTACCTGGGAATACACTCAAAGAGTAGTCAACTAGGACCTCATGAGAAACCCCACTCTCTGTAGCTCTTTAGCTTCTACCCACCTTGAAGCATTGCTGCACAGCACTGCTAAAATGAGAAATGGGTTTTCATTAGTGAAATTAGTAGTTTGTCAGCATAATGAGTGATCTTCCCTACCCTTTCAGAAAAGAGCCCTCCAGGCTTGCACAGCCTCAGGGATGGAGTTTGAGACTTGAGAACTAACAATCCTGCTTCCAGTCTTGGGATCAGAGGGCTTGGGTGGTTTAACACCCATTATATGGGGGGGGGACCCTGCTTTTGCAGAATTGGCACATCACTTTCAGGCAAGGTGGAATGGGAGCTTCTGGAACCTCAGGAAGCTGAGACTTCTATGAAGTCACCAGACAATGATTTTATACCTATCTTTACAAATGTTCCCTTAATAAATGTCAGTGTAAGTGTTAGAAGTTGGTCTAAGATCTGCTTTTTCCTTTCTTTGGCAGTACGGGATTTGAACTTAGGGCCTCACACTTGCTAGGCAGCCATTCTACTACTGCAGCCATGCTCCCAGCTCTTTTTGCTAATAGGGTCTCACATTTATGCCTCTCATGGAGCTGGGGTGACAGGCATGTGCCACCACATTCAGCTTACTGACTGAGAAGGAGTCTCCCTAATGTTTTGCCTAGGCTTGCCTCACACCATGACCTTCTGAGCTCCGCAATCCGAGTAGCATGAGCCACCGTGCCTGCCCCGTGTCTCCTTTCTTGGCCTAAATGATGTTTAGAGTCCAGGACAAGTCTGGGGTCACCTCTTGATTCTACCTGTAAGACTTCTGCCAAACTTTATGGAAGGCAATTATGGAACTCATCTGAGAATGAAAGTCCTTTGTAAACAGGGCTAATAATGGTATCTCCCAGATAGTTTTGAGAATTAAATTAAAAAAAGGTATTTAAAAGTGCTATGAAAGTTGTAAAATGGTTAATGCACGTGTCATTGTTCCTAAGCAATTTTACACTGAGGTGCAAATAACCAACATTAAATTCTTTCTGGGAGCAATCTGACTGGCTTTTGGGAAAGAGCTGCAGATGATGTTGAAGTTCTGATGTAGAGAAGAAAAGCAATCACCATGAGGAGATAAAAGAAAAACGACCTAAAGAAAAGGAAAGATTAAGAGTCAGGCCTCAGGCACCTCTACTCTCTCTAGCTTTCCCACCCCAGAAACTTCAATGTTAATGGTGAATGGAGTGACACATGACTAGGAAATGCATTTGCTGCCACATCAAACAGAATTTCATAAAATGTCCTG